CCTCGTCTCCTTAACGCCACAGAACTGACTGTTTGGACTTTGCAATTTGCATTGAAAGGTGGAAGAAAGGGTTTTTGTTTTGTTTTTTCTTATGAGAAAAAGTTTAACCTGGATGGTCCTGACAGTTTCCAACGTTACTGGCATGACAAGCAGATCCCACCTGAGATGTTTTCTATGCACCACAGTGGAGGGGCGCCATAATGGTCTGGGGTGCTTTTTCCTTCAGTGGAACAATGAAGGGATGTCATACGGCCACTGGCTATGTCCAGATGTTGCTGAGAGCATCTCTCATGACTGAGAGCCCTCGTCTGTGTAGTAATGACTGGTTTTTTTTTTAATAGGACAACACTACAGTACACAATGACTACAGGAGGAGGGACTTCTTCCAGGAGAATAACATCACTCTTTTGGACCATCATGTTTGTTCTCCTGATCTAAATCCAATTAAGAACCTTTGGGGATGGCAAGGGAAGTTAAAAAAATGGACAACAGTTCCAGACAGTCTTCACAACTTGGAGAAATGTTTCCACTCACTTCTTTGAAGCGCTTGCATTAAGCATGCCGCAACGAATTTTTGAAGTGATCAACAAAAACGGTGGTTGGAACTTTGATTTCTGCTTTTAAGGGTTTCTGGGTTTTTTGGAGGTGTGTTCCTAAACTTCTGATCAGCTGTAAAACAGCCTGTTTCAGTTTAAGTGTTGTTTTCAATAAATTGCATGCTCAAAAAATGTTTTGTCTCACTCCCATTTCTTCTTGTTGCATGTTGAAGCTCTACTTGGAACCTTGTTAAGATCCAACCATGCAAAATATGAGTTTTTTTGCCATTTTTCAGGTGGTCTTAAACTTTTGATCAGGACTGTATATCGGATGAAGGGTTTAGGAGTTTCAGCTCCCTTACATGTGCCACCCTGTTTTTAAATAGACCAAAGGTAATTGGACAGTTTACTCAAAGGCTATTTAGTGGGCAGGTGTGGGCAATTCCTTCGTTATGTCATTATCACTTAAGCAGATAAAAGGTCTGGAGCTGATCTGAGGTGTGATGCTTGCATTTGGAAGATGTTGCTGTGAACAGACAACATGCGGTCAAAGGAGCTCTCCATGCAGGTGAAACAAGCCATCCTTAATATGCGAAAACAGGGAAAAAAACCCACTCCTTTTCCACTCCTGCTACAATAGCAGGAGTGGCAAAATCTACAGTTTGGTGCATCCCGAGAAAGAAAGAAAGCACTAATGAACTCAGAAACACAAATAGACCTGGACGCCCACTAAGGACAGCAGTGGTGGATGATCGCAGAATCATTTCCACAGTAAAGAGACAAACCTCATCATGACAGCCAGCTATGGTGGTGTCAATGGGTTCAAGACTTCAGGCTGTCATTACCAGCAGAGGGATTTCAACCAAGTATTAGAAATGAACATTTTATTTTCAGTTAGTTAGGGTGTCCAGTTACTTTGAGCCCGTGAAATGAAGAGATAGTGTTTAAAAAAAAAAAAAAAAAAGCTTTAGTTTCTCACATTTTTATGTATTTGAATCTCTTTCTTCAACCCACTGAATTAAAGCTGAAAGTCTGCACTTCAGACTGAGTTGTTTCATTCAAAATTAATTGAAGTAATGTACATAACCAAAATTAGAAAAAAAAAGTTGCCTCTGTCCAAATATTTCTGGCCCTAACTGTAGCTCTGTGTAGGACTAACGCACAAGCACAAGCTGGTCCTGCGAGTTCTTGTGTTTGTGTCTCACTTGGACTTTTATTTTTCCGATTTTACTCTTGCTTTCACTTTCTGTAAAGTGCACATGGTTAAGGTAAGGAGACAACCAAGGTATGGATTTCAATACACTCCATCACACTGATGATGCCAACTTAAAAAATACTGCTTTGGAATGACAGACCTGTCTCACTAATGTTAAAACGCAGGGCTTTAAGAACAGTCAGATGAAGTGGTTAAGTTTACTGCTAAAACCAAGATTTTTATTTATTTATTCATTCATTGCTTGTTTTAGGCACCATCTGAATGATAAGTGGAGGAACAGGCCAAACAATCAACAGTATGTTTCTAGTTCCAGCTCCTAATTTTCATTCTTGGACTCTACTAGGGTAGCTTTGCATGATTCACGCTTCAGAATAATCCCTATTTATCTAATATGGGTCTGAAATGAGCCCCTTTAAGCCAGTTTTATTCTGATTAGCTACCCTTCATAAACAGAAGGCCTTTACAGCAGGTGGATGGGACTTCTGTACCTAAGATGACCAATCAGAAAGGAGTTCATGGTTCCACAAATGTCTGTTTGCATACATGTTACCGTTTATCCAACAAGCAGAGAGAAGTTATAACCCACGCAGTTCTCAAAAGTCCAGACTGTGCATTGCTGGAAGCAGATGACGTATGCGTCTGCCTGATGCTGATTGGTTGGTTGACAAGGGGGCCTGAATAACGGTCACCAGGCGTGAAAGAAGCATGAAACGAATTTCTCCATTGACTGCGGAGCTCTCTGCAGGTAAACAGGTCATCCACCTTTAAGAGATCCAGTCTCACTGACATTCAGAGCCAAGTAGAAAAAACCGTCTGAAACCTAGCATTCAGGGCAGCTCGAAGCCTGAGATATATTATTTTTAAACTTTCAGACTGTATTTTGATGTATTTTCAAATGTTCTTTAATTATGATGATGGTGATCAAATGCACATTAATGTAAATATGCAATACATTTAGTCCATTTTCCTTATATGGACTAAATGCTCAAATAACAAGTATTGAGAGAAAGTTTTACGAAAGATTATTGGCCTGTCCCCCCCTGCAGAGGCATTCAGCCTCAAGCAAAGCAGCACCGACTCAAACATTAGATTTTCTCTGGGTTTTTTTTTTAGTGTGGGAACTAAACAGAGAACGACTTTGCATTAGACATGGACAGTGACCCAAACGTGGAGCTGTCACCACAACATTTGTAAACTTCCTGTTAAAAGAGAAAAAGGAGCTGTAGCTGCTGAGGAATCTTCATGCTTTTCAGCAGAAAATCTAATTCTTGATTTAATTCTACCTATTTCAGCTGCTGTGGGCTTCTGGTAGTTTCCCAGTGTGGCGTTTCTGTGAATTTGTTTCATCACTTGTCATCTGTTCCTCATACGGAAAGGTTAACTAATCTTTGACTTTGGAAAGAAGCCGGACCACGACAGGCGATGAGGTCATGATTTTAACAAAAAAAACTTCCATCTAAGTGGAAAAATTGTTGCAGTGAGAATAAACTGATGATAGTTCACTGAAAGGGGTCAAAGGTCAGCAGGCTGGCGCAGCGCTTTTACAGATAGTTCAGCGCGGCTGTAAAACGAATAGAGCACAGAAACTTTGCAATTCAAATAAAAGACGTAAATGTTGGTGTTCTTCTTCCTAATACACTTTAAATTTATATTCAAGGACTAAAATCATATTTACTGATTATCTGGGTTTCCTGCACCAGTTTTAAAGTTCATTCTCTTTTAAACAAAACCTTCTTAGGTGCTTTATTCACTGATGATCTCCTGTTTTGCATGCTAGTGCTAAGAATGGCACAAAATATAAAGACACTAACTACTATCAGTGTATCCCCACACATACACATTACCCAAGTATATTACGAGGCTCATTTTGAATTATTATTATTATTATTTTTTGAAATCTGTCTTATTTTGAAAGACCAGTTGCTGCTAACGGTTCTAAGCACTGAGTCAGGACTTTCTGAACAAAATCCCACAAACGAGACAGGAAGTGGCCCGCCTGAGTGTAAAAAGTGCTTTATTACATGTGTTTATGTCTAAGAGTGTTATGTGTCACAATCCATTTATCTCTTTCATCGCACAGATTATGATGAATGAGTCCTCCTCTTCAGGCATATTTGATGGGTTTTCCCCTCGGGCTATAATTTTAAAAACCTACCGCAGGATAAAAGCCGCAGCAGGCGGCAGTGGTGTAATATGTTAGATTGCTTTATTTTGAAAGCTAGCTAGTTCCTAGTTGGAAACGAGTTACCACTTGAAGCTGCCCTAAAGGCTCTGTGTAAAGTGAAGCCATTTATCTAATCTAGCAATATTTATTTGCCAACAGGGGGCGCCTGCTCTGGTTTAAAAATACATATGAGAGGAAAATTACCTTACTTTTTACTGAGATCAAAAATAAAGTGACCACTTTCCTGATAGCTGCATGGTCTCGGTCATTAATTTTAAGTCTTATTGAATAAAACGTTTACCTTCTCAGTTTTAGCACTTGGTTTCTAAAGGGACAGTAAAGCAGGGTAGGCTTTAGTGTCACTACAGTGTAAACTGTAATGTCCTTCAGTGTCACTGTTAGATCCACTCTTATTCACGATGCCTGGTTTCAAAAGCTAAGTTGGTGATGCCTGAAATCCTCAGACTGATTCTTAAAAAAAAGCACCTGTGGGTGAAATCCTAAAATTATTTGTTAACTAATCAATCAGCACTCCACCCTATTGAGTAACTTTGCTCACCTCATGTGAAAAATTAAAAATGGCATATTCAGCATACATAAAACCAAAATTGAACAGCAGTTTTGAAGCCTCAAACTAATGGGTAATGTCACAGTGGATGTGTCCGTCTTTTATATACAGTCTGTATTCGGCTGTATGTTGTAGCGATCAGCAGAAGGGGAAGCTGGGGGGGGGCATGTGGTCTGTAACTCAACCACCACACCACAGGAGTCAGGTGAACATGTAAAACCACCATGAGGCTACGACTGTGCCTGACTGAGTTTTATGAGTTTTGGATGAATGTAGCGTTTTCTATTTGTCTTTGTTTAATTCTCTGGATAATTGTTCTTTCAAACTGTAGTCCGGTGTTTTGGAATGATCAGTTTTCTCTGTGAGGGCACAAATGCAGTCACCTAGAGTCCCTAAAACATTTGAATAGTGCAGCACGTTTAACACTACCCGTGTGTCTGTGTCGTTTCTTTCATTAACCTTTTGCAGCTCGGACGTGATCTCTGAGCAATAACACCTCCCCTTTTCCCTCCTCAGTTTCCTGAATGTGGATTTTTTGGGATGTACGACAAGATCCTGCTCTTCCGTCACGACTTGAGCTCGGACAACATCCTGCAGCGTCTGACCTCCGCTGAGGAGATCCAGGAGGGTGACCTGATCGAGGTGGTGCTCTCTGGTAAGGAATGAATAATTTTAGTCCGTTTTCTTTTTTTCCCTCAGCAGGTGGATATAATGTTCAAATTAAAAACATTTATCAAACATGCAAAACTCCGAATAGTGATGGAATCAAGTGTGCATACATAGCCAGAAATACTGCAGCCCTACCCATCCACAACCCATCACTCCAATCCTGCCCCGTCGGAGTTTAATTTTAAATGTAGCTGATCTGGTGTAACTGATCACCCCGTGCCAGCCAGTTTGCGGCCTTGCAGGGAGTTTATGCTAAATGTCGTCACGGCTGCAGGCCCATGGTGCACTTGTGGTGGTGTTTCGACTCGTCGTACACCTCCTGATTTCTGTAACCTGACACATGTAGCAGTGTCTACATGATGCATCAATGCACGAGGATTGAGATGCTGAGATGGCACAGAGCAAGATCGCTGCAGCATTTGAACAAAATGCCGAAAACGTGCGTGACTGCTTTGTTTCCTGTTTCAACTTCTTCTTCTCCTGTTTTCAGTTCTGAAATGGTGTCATTTTCTTCTTGGAGTGTTTAGAAACAGACTGAGAGAGAGTCCAGCTTTTATTGTCCCGTTAGTGCTTTTATTATTGTTTCTATTTAGACTACATCCCCCTTTTCTTGTTCTCTTGAGTGTACCGTAGGTTTCTCTTTTTTCTCTTCTGAATTTCATGCTTGAGCATGTTCTGTATAAATAACATTCTTTTACATTTTTGTCAATAATCATTGTATATCCTCCTCTGGTAGCTGCTGAGTCTTTCCCAGTTTTTAAGTTCTTTATTTTCAGACAAATAGATGATGTCCCTGAGATCTCAGCCTGCTACAGCTTAGAAAGATGCACAGACATTAATGAGATAAGCATGAGTAAAGAAAGAAAGCATGCTGCAAAAACAGAAGACACACCTACAACTGCATGTTGTTGTTTTTTGTGGGATTTCTTTTTTTGGACTTTCTATAAATCATGGTTTAATATTTTGGAGCTCAGGACCATTTAAGGTATGAACAAGAATATTATTCCAGCTAATAATAAATAGATTAACTTTAAAATCAGCAGTAAGAATAAAATAATTGTTTAAAATATATCTTAATGAAAAACATGGTCCGTTATTAAATGAATCTTCAAATTTGCCTAACCATGTATTTGGTTTCACACTGAAGTCAAAGGTAAGTTTTAAACATTTAAATTGTATCTTTATTATGTATTTTTGCATCAGTTTCGTATCCTCCGGGTAAAATGAGGCTGGCACAGATCTCGTTTCCTCTCCGCCAGCGCCGCCTCCCTGGGTCACCCCCGTTCGCTTTAAACATAATATTGTGCATAGGATTGTCACTTCCTGAAATGTGTCAACAGGTTGGGCTGTGAAAACTAAAACTGACACCTTTACAGCCGAACACCCAGACGCAGAGCCGCGCCAGGTTTAAATTACACAGGAGGGTGAAAACATATCGCAACCGCACAGGGTGCAAACCCACGACCACTTCCTCCTCCTCCTCGTGCACCTCTCGCTGCTACTGCTGCAAAACCCTGCAGAGCTCAGCTGGTTTATTTCACTGTTACCATTCGAGCAGCTACCAGAGCGCCAAGCGATCAAGATGAAACCGGCTCTAGTGTGATTCTTGCTGCTCGGTTGAGTTGTTTTCCAGCTTTTATACAAACAAGCAGCACAAAATGGTCTGTGTGGTTGTGTATATATGTAGTACATACACATTACATTTAAAGTAGATGAAACATTTTCAAAAAATGCAATAATTAAAGGTTGAAAATGCAAAGAACACATCCAATAACAAGATGTTTTTATGTGTTAGCTTGAAGAGTGACATGTAAAAAGTTCGTCCTCATTTAAACACTTTTCTCTTTATTTGCATATTTTACATCCTGTGTAACTTCAGCTAATACTTCAGGGTACAACTATTCCACGCGAGGCTTTCTACTTTTGTAACCCCAGAAAGACATTGACGTGTAGTGTATGTGTGACCATTTCTAGCGATAAATTCATTTGTCAGATTGTAATTCTGATACGCTCACGCTCAGAGCCCGAGCATCATCGTTTTGGGGGACCATCTCCTGGCGTGGGTGGAAAGCTTCCCACAGAGACAGTCATAGTCTGACTGCGTGTGTGTTTCTGTTTCAGCTCTCGCCACAGAGGAGGACTTCCAGATCCGACCTCACACTCTGTACGTTCACTCCTACAAGGCACCGGCCTTCTGCGATGACTGCGGGGAGATGCTGTGGGGGCTCGTCAGACAGGGACTCAAATGTGAAGGTGAGGAAGCGCTCAGGAAGCTTCTAGGCTTCTGACATGTCCATTTCTGCTCAGAGAACCCAGAAATCTTAGTCCCGGGTTTTTCTAACACAGTGGCTAGAAGTTTTGTCCAAGGAACTTTACATCCCAGGTATTTTTATTCCGGGAGCATTTAGTCCCAGGAATTTCTTTTCAAGGAAAGGGTTAGTCCCACAGCTCTAACTCTCAGAACTTTTCCTCTGATATGCTGTGATGTACTTTGTCCCCTTAGAGTCTTTGACTATTTTTTCTGTGTGCTGTGGCAGAAACTGTCTTCACAAAGACCCAATAAACATAAAAAAGCTGTTATTTAAATGCTTAATGGAAGTGGGCGAAAATAAATTTTTTAAGAGTTCAGTCTGCATTTTAGGCTCGCCGTCTCCCGCCGGAAGGCAAGAGCTCATACACGAGATGGAGGATGTGCGAGGGGTCTGATAGAGCTCTCCGTGCCAGGAAATTTTATTCCCAGAAACGCTTTTCAAGGAAGGGTGGTCGGAACATTTAGTCCCACAAAACATTTTCTAATGGAAGGAAGAGACAGGTGGCCTTACAGACGGAGGAGCTGAATAAAACAAAACAGGCACTGCACCAAGGCTCCCTATAAAATAAACAGGATTATTCTGAACTATGAAACATGCAAAGCGGCTCTAGTAGAGCCAGAGATGAGTTTTTTGGAGATGAATTCACACAAAAAATTGCCCCAAAAATGACCACAAACAAATATATTTGTGCAGTTGCCAAACCCTAAGTAACAGAGAAGCAAATACGTAGTGAAAAGTAGAAAATATAGATGCTGTCCAAGTGTTTGAATTCACAGTTCTTGGCTTACATTTAAGTCTCATTTTCTCAATTTTCAGCAAAAATTTGTTGTTAGCAAAAATTTCATGGCTGTGCCGGCTGCATGTTCAAAGTGAGTGTTGGACCCTGCCAGGGATCTGGTTTGGTGTTTGATTTGGGGTTTGGTGAAGCGAGCAGTATGAGAGTCAGCACATTAAAGTGCGAGGCTGTGGTTCTCTGCCACCACTCTTGGGTTGAGGTACAGTTTTAGCCCCGAGTGAGGGAGTTAGGGGAGGGAGCGAGGTCGTTGTGGCGCTGGCAGCAATGTGGGCGCTGTACCGAACTGCTTTTACCCTCACCTGGTCACGAGCTCTAGTTAGTGACTGAACAAATGATTGGCAAATGACTGCATCCAAAATGAGCTTCTGTGAGTGGGTGGGCTGAGCCGGGCTCAGTGGGTGAGGGGCTCAGTCCTCTGGATGGAGGTCAGAATAGAGCCAGATTACAGATCCAGGACTCACTGGAGAGATGATGGGAACACCTTGGGTTATTCTCCCAGGAGGAACTGGAAAATCATAAAGAGGAAAACGTGCATCTGGAATATCTCGCTTGGCCTGCTAAGAGCAGTCTAACGATCATGAGCATGAAGTCTCAGATTTAGTCATCGGAAATCATTTTCAGGATGTGTGTGCATTAAAATAGGCTCCTCACAATTTAAACATTATGATGGGAAGTGATGTCAGTGATTCAGCAGGGATGTAATAGAGGTCCGGCAGGCTGCGTGCTATTCTCTCTGAGTGACCGATAACTGGACCTTTAAACCTATTAAACTCGACTGTTTAAACCTCCATCAGAGTTCACAGTGATGTCATGTTTGTTTTAACACGTCTCATAAAGTTTTATTTTCCCTGAGGTAACACGTGGTGGCTTCTTGGGTTTCCACCACGTCCACGCTGACCAAATCATCACCTCGAGGGAAAAAAAAAGAAGAGGCACACACACATACACACACTCGGATAGTCACACACTGGTTTTTAGACCTGATTTTAAAGCTGCAGCGGCTTGTCGACTTCCTGCAGTCATTTTTCAGACAGTCTTGTCTTTAATGTTTTGATCTCGACGCTCTGTTGTGATGCCGAGCAGAGAGACACCCGAGCAGCTGATGTTTGGCTTCCGCTTGTACGTTTGAAATGGTTAAAAATGAAAAGTTCCCAAACCTGAAGCAACAGAAAAAAATAGAAAAACAACCTTGATGGAAGAAAATTTTAGCTTTTTTTTTTCCTGCACATTTAAGCTTCTGATGTTGTAAACAGCTTTCTGAACCACATCCTGGACTCAATAAATTCTGTGTTTTTAAACAGATAATTTGGCTATGAGAAGATTGTTGGGCATAAATGAACCTTTAGAAGAGTAAATTAATACTTTGACACATTTTAATGCATTTATCTGATAAATAATAGGCCTTACTTTAGCCTTACTCGTACAGACAGATTTTTCTGTGCTCCAGTTGTGAGCAGGCATCTAAATTCAATACAGCTTGTTGACCAGACGTGCTATAAACTTGGTACTCTGTGCTGTCGTCGCATGACCCTACACTGGTTAATTTGAGGGATGAAATTTTCTTCACTGAACCGTATCCATATTTCATATAAGCCAATGATGTTGAGTAACCTGGTTTTGCATAGAAAATGGACAGAAAGGACTTAAAAGCCCGGCCCTGTCTGAAGGGTTTAAATTTCCTTGGTAAGAAAAATAAAAGGTTCATGCTCTGATTTGGCCCTGCTGTGTTTTATCAAGAATCTGCATTCCTGAGGTTTAGTCTCGGCACATTTTAGCCACAAAAGGTACAAAATGACCCTCCTGCAGCACAAGACCAGACATTTATACTCAATTCAATAATAATTTTATTTACAGAGCGCCAAATCACAACAACAGTCGCCTCAAAGCGCTTTATATTGTAAGGCAGACCCTACAATAATACATACAGAGAAAAACCCAACAATCATACGACTTTCTATGAGCAAGCACTTTGGCAACAGTGGGAAGGAAAAACTCCCTTTTAACAAGAAGCAACCTCCAGCAGGACCAGGCTCAGGGAGGGGCGGCCATCCGCGACTGGTTGGGGAGAGAGAAGGAAGACAGGATAAAAAAACATGTTGTGGAAGAGAGCCAGAGATTCAAAGCAGCTGAACATGGAAGCAAAGCTGCTGATTCACAGGTTTATCTGCGTTTCTACTGTCATCTGTGGTTGTGAAACCAAAAGAATGAAATCATAGATATGAATGATAGATATGATCTTTCTCGATTGTTGTTGGGGCTCTGGCTTAGAGAGAGGGTGAGACTAGGATGCCTCCCGGGGAGGGCCTTGGTCTCATCCTGGAAGAGCTGGAGGTACTGGGGGTGTCTCCCAAAGGCCATGGGTCGGACTTGGTTCCTTTATTAACTTCGGGATCAGAACTTCAGTTGAACTGTGAATCTTAACGATGATTCCTCTCTTGTGCAGGATGTGGACAGAACTACCACAAGCGGTGTGCGTTCAAGATCCCCAACAACTGCAGCGGCGTGAGGAAGAGGCGACTGTCAAACGTCTCCCTGCCAGGCGCCACCTTGTCTGTCGCTCGTCCACCTTCCACTGACTTCAGCCCGGCACTGCAGGAGGAGGTGGGTCTGTGGGCTTGCATGAAATCACTCATTAGTCGTATTCATTTTAGTTGTTTTTTTTTTTTTTAATGAGTTAAAATGTATGCACAGACTTCCCTTGCAGTTGTGCAGCCCCAGCCCCAGTACACACACACATACACGCACATGCACTTTCTGTCTGATGGCTCGAGGCAAACCACTTGATTTTTCCATCCGGTTCAAGCCAACAAGCAGAGAGAGTCACAGTCAGATTCTCACAGGCTGAGCAAGCACACAGATCAGAGGGGGACCCGAGCACAGTCAGACCCATATACATATCTGACCTGAGTGGACCCGAGCAGCATGTTGTGCAATCAGTTAGTCTGATTGATTAACAAGCTAGATTTTACAGATCCCAGAAAGAAACTGTTCCTATAAGAGACCCGATGTGTGATC